TGGAGGAGGAGGAGGAGGTGGTGGAGGGAGGAGGTGAAGGAGGAGGAGGAGGAGGAGAAGAAGGAGGAGGAGGAGGAAACATCGGGGGAGATGAGGTGGAGGACTGACGCTTCGATCCCCGTCGATCCAAGTCCCAGGCGTCAAAAAGAACGGGGAGGGGGAGGGGGAGAGCGGAGGAGGAGGAGGAGGAGGAGGAGGAGGAGGAGGACGAGGACGAGGACGAGGACGAGGACGAGGAAGAGGACGGAGAAGAAGTCTGAAGCATCCGGTCCAGAGCCCTCGGGTGCCTCCTCCTCGGGCGGTGCTCGATCCAGTTCGGGCGCGCCCCCGACCCGCCCAGCCAGGCTGTGGATGCACGGAGTGCGGGGCAGCTTGCTGGCGCTCGGCATCGGCCTTTGGTGCGTGGGGCTGCAGCTGCTGCCTTTCGCCTCCGCAGGATCGCCTCGACCCTCCGCCCTCTTAGATCGCTCGGCATCGGCCTCTGGCGCGTGGGGCTGCAGATGCTGCCCTTCGCCTCCGCAGGGCAGTCTCGATCGTCGGCCCTCCTTTTCCGCCCTGCGTCGGCCTCTAGCCATTCTATGTACAGTGCCGTTAAGAGTACATGCTCCGCGTGCGGATCATGTACTAAACATGCAGGGATCTAGTATCAAAAACAACGATGAGTTCATGCATAAATATATTCCTGAATTAATCATGTATTTAAATCCTATATGTTTGAACATTCTATGTGTTAAAAACTGCCCTGTAAGCTAGAGGCCAGCGACGGAAATGGTCGAGCAGGGACACTGCCAAGACGACTCATCCACCTTCGCGGTTGGACGACGCAGGGAGGCCCAGCGAGAGTCCATCACGGCCGCCCGCGCGCCGCGCCGCGGAGTGCGGGCCAGGCGCGGCAGTAGCCAATGCCACGCAGACTCTCGACGTTCCTCGAGGAGGAGGTTCCGGGGCCCTGGTCGCTCGTCCTCCCCCCCGACCCTCCTCCACATTCCCGACGTGATTTTTGTTCGCAACGTCGACCCCGAGAGGCATGGACAACCCTTCCGGGACCCGTCCTCCATCCTGAGTCGGTTTTGACGATCCCGCGGCCCAGTGAGGGCCCCTTGGAGGCCGAACATCGTGAGAAATTCCCCGTCGGTGATGTTGTTCACAACGCGAGGGGGTCAGGGCCTCGAGGTACAGTCGGGGCCCTGAAGAAGGAACCCTTTTGGTTGGGGAGGGGCTGCGCGTTCCTTAAGTGTTTCACAGCTCGCCTCAGGTTTTCCTTAGGTTTTCGATACGAAATCGAAGTTCAACTCATGGAACATAGGGGCCTCGTTCCTTCATTTAGGGTTCCTTAGGTCAACGCCCCGACTGTAGATCCAGGACGATCCTCGAGGAGCACCGTCGGTCCTCCTCGATCTTGCGGGCGTCTGCGCTGCAGGTCGCCCCTGCGCCGCGGACCCCCCTCCGCGCGCCGCGCGTGCGATGACACTCCCGCGGGGGGGCGTCGCGGCGGGCCCCCGCCTCACGGCGCGGCGTCTCCCAGTTGGGGGGGTCGGGCGCCGGCCAGCGCGCGTTTTCGGCCATCCCCAGAGGTCCAAAGGACAGTCGGGGCCCTGAAGAAGGAACCCTTGTCGTCGGAGAGGGGCTCGGCGTTGCTTGATTGTTTCGAAGTTTGCCTCGGGTTTTCCTGAGGTTTCCCATGGGAAATCGAGGTTGAACTTATGGGAAAAAGGGGGCCTCGTTCCTTATTTAGGGTTCCTTTGGTCAAGGCCCCGACTGTAAAACAAACAATCAAGACGGGAGTTTCTCGCAGTTTTCGGCCTCCAGGAGCCTTCGCCAGGCCCGGGGACCGTCAAGAACGACTCGGTCGGGGGCCTTGAGACGGGGGTCAATGCAAACAGGGGTCAGCCAGAGCGCCCGATCTTGCAGGATCCTGCAGGGCCAGGGTCGCATTGACCCGGGCTTGTGTGCAGGATCTTGCAGGATTTTGCAGGATCCTTCGCATTGACCCGGGTTTGGGTGCAGGATCGTGCAGGATCTTGCAGGATTTTGTCAGGCTTGACTGACCCGGGTCTGGATTGACCCGGGTCAGAAGATTCCCAACTCAGGATGAAAAGTTGGTCTTGGGAAATGGTTCGAGACTTCTGGGCACCCCTGTATGGAAAAAACAAGACATCGGATCTCCTGGAACGTAAGACTGCGCGTTGGGTTTGGATGGTATGGTAGATAATCATCTGAGGAGGAGGAGGAGGAGGAGGAGGAGGAGGAGAAGGCACCCACACCGGTGCCCTCACCTCGTTCTCGCCTTTTTGGAGCCTCCTGGGAGGCCCTCGTCGCCACGTCTGGATTCGCCTCGAGATCCTGGTCGGAAAGCACCCTGGGAGAGATCAGGGGAGGAGCGGTATCGGTACCTTCGCTGGAGAGCCGTGCGACTCGAGTTCGCCAGAATTCGGGTTTGACGACGCTTTTTGACGAGCTGGTAGAGCCATGCTCGGCTAGAGGCAGTCTGTAAGTTTATAGGAGGTCAGTCGGAGGCCATATTGAGTCATGCTCGGATAGTTCGTGCGCTCTTGAAACAAATAGTTGTTTGAGATCTAGTGCTCTGTTGGAGCCATCTTGTGCCAAAAAGGGCGAGGTGGATGGGTTGAGGAGGGTGCGAACGGACGCGTGCAAAGTAGGGGTCCCACGAGCACGTGGGCCTTCTTGGGCCGTCTCGGGGATCTCTTGAGCCGTCTTGGGGCCCTCTTTGTCCGTCTTAGGGCGCTCTTGGGAGCCTCTTGGGCTGTTTTGGAGCAGTCTTAGGGAGGCCTCTTGGGCCTTCTTGGCCGTCGGAAGCCCGAAAAGGCGAGCGTGCCAAAATCCATCAAGAAACTTAAAGAACATCGCAAATGTTCGCCACTTGGGCCCCTCTTGGGGGTGCTCTTGGAGCGCTTTGGGGGGCCTCTTGGGAGCCCCATTGGAGCACTCTTGGGCCGTCTCGGAAGCCTCTTGTACCGTCTTGGGAGCCTTGTATGAAGGATTGTGGCCTGAAAAAAAAGCGCGAACACTGCATATTTCACTCATGTTTATGTTACCCAAAAACGCGAAGAACGTGTGATGTACAATGTATCGTGACTTTGGGGACGCTGATACTGCGTAATTTCGCCAGAGTATTGCCCCGGGGACGCGATGATTGTGTAATTGACTAGGAATTATGGTCCGGGAGCGCGAGCACTCTGTAATTTGCAATGGTTTACCGCCTCGGGGGCGCGTGTACGGATGATTTTCACACACGCACACACAAAAACAAATTATCCGGGCGAAGGACCCAACCATGCGCAAGTGTGAGAATTGCAGGGCAGGTGGGACGAAGCAAGGTGAATTCCCAACGGCGCCACGAATCGTGTGAGGGGTGCGCCAAAATGCGGGGCCGCCATGCGAACCCTGCCACTGGGGCCCTCGGTGGAGCCCCCTATGGGGCCGCGAACCGTGTGAGGGTTGCGCCAAAATAGGCCGGGGCCGCCATGCGATCTTTGCCACTGGGACCTTCGGAGGAGCTCCTCATGGGGCCACGAACCGTGTGAGGGGTGTGCCAAAATGGGGCGGCGGCGCCATGCGAACCGTGTGAGGGGTGCGCCAAAATGGGGCGGCGGGGCCATGCGGGCTGCGCCACTGGGACCTTAGTTGGAGCTCTCTATGGGGCCACGAAGCGTGCGAATGGTGTTCCAAAATGGGGCGGTGGCGCCATGCGAGCTGCGCCACTGAGACCTTAGTTGGAGCTCCCTATGGGGCCACGAAACGTGTGAGGGGTGTGCCAGAATGGGGCGGCGGCGCCATGCGAGTTGCGCCACTGGGACCTTAGGAGGAGCTCCCTATGGGGTCACGAAGCGTGTGAGGGGTGTGCCGAAACAGAGACATGCGGCGAGCAAAAGCAAGGAGGGGGAGGAGGGAGGAGGGGGAGGAGCAGGGAGGAGGAGGAGAAGGAGACGCGGGTCGCTGTCTCTTCAAAACGAGGACCCACCACCACAGGATGGTTTGGGGAAAAATTGATTATGGCCCCAGGTGCGCGAACGTGATGTCCTTAACGAGGGAGAGTGGCTTCGGGGGCGCGAATCTCAGATACCCACATGTCTCAGGACCCCGCAGAAATTCTGATAACCCCCCAGGTGAGGGAAATTAGAGCACTTCTCGGCTCCCCCCCCCTCGCGCGGACTTCAACAATTCCCAGTAGGAAGCAGAACACAGAATTGTAACATCGGAGACTGGAAACTGGAACTGAAGCAGGGAGCAGCAAGCCTCAGCCGCGGAGCATGATGGCTCCGCAAGGGGGGCAGCGGAGCAACCATTTCTCTCACCCTCGGTTGTCTCCTTCGATCTTCCATCGCCCTTGTCGTGGCGCAGCGCTACCACCTGGCGGTGGTAGAATGTCTTGCACCCTCGGGGAGGTACGTGTGGAGCTTTGCCTCCGCTCTGCCCTTCAAAGGGAGGGTCCTCCTCTTTCTCGTTCGGGCTGTCATGTTGCCGCGCCACCGCTGGGACATCTCGGGGATTAGGGCGAAGATGGCGGGATGGTGGATGGTGTGAGAGAGGGACAGGGATGGAGGGGAATGAGGGAGAGAGAGGAGAGGAGACGGAGGGGACGTATGGGGGCGAGGGAGATGGCGCAAGGGTGGAGTAACGATTCCAGGCGATTAGGGCAGGAACGAGTTGGCTGTTCGATTCCACGGTCGACGCCAGAAGTGGCCAGACCGATTGTCCAGGAACAGTCCGTTGTCACGGTCACCAGCCCTACCCTGTTTTGCCCGTTAGTAGTTTGTTCGTGGGAGAGGGTGGAAGAAGAGCAGAAAGGGGGGAGGGGTATCCTCATGCATGAGAGACGTTCGTCAGCCGGTGGATTCCTCAAGCACCAAGTTGTTCTTGCTGGTTTCGTGATGATTTGGTTCCGTCTGTTGGACCTTGCAGCCGTCTGCCTGGGGACCGCCCTCATGTGCGGGCGGGGACAGGACCAGGTTAAACCGTTCCGGAGCGTTCTTCCTCCTCCTCCTCCTCCTCCTCCTCCTCCTTCTCCTTCTCCTCCTCCTCCTCCCCCTCGTCCTCCTCCTCCTCCGCGTTCTGGAGCGCTCTGGAACGGCCGCGGCGCCCGACACATCCTCCAGAGAGGCGAGATCTCAGAGATCCCCGATTCGTCCCAGTCCGATTTTGCCTTGGTCTTGGCCTCGTCTTACATTCGGGGGCGGAAAAGAGGGGGGTGATGACAAGGGGGGGGGGACATCATGGCGGAGGCCATGATATCTCCCCAGATTTCATGGCGCCTCTTCTTGTTTCATTACGTCCCTGGCCCCCCCGCTGGGCCGCACACATGCCGCCGGTCATGATTTGTACCCCCCCCTTTTGGACACCCCCCTCTTGGCCGCTCCCGATACATGGGGGTCCCGCCCTTGGTTGCCCCAGCGGTTGGATCTTCAGAGCGTCGCACGTTGGGTCCCCGCCCTGAGTGGCCCTCGTGTACTACAGTCGGGGCCCTGAAAAAGGAACCCTTTTGGTTGGGGAGGGGCTCCGCGTTCCTTAAGTGTTTCACAGCTTGCCTCAGGTTTTCCTTATTTTTTTCGATCGGAGATCGAAGTTTGACTTATGTAAAAAAGGGGCCTCATTCCTTATTTAGGGTTCCTTAGGTCAAGGCCCCGACTGTACCCTGTCGTCTTTGGCAGGGCCCCACCCACGTGGTCCCGCCCTTGGGCTGCACTCGTGTGCGAGGTGCCTTCCGGTCGCCGCCCGCCCACTGTGCTTTGGTTCGGCAGTGTCGAAATGGGTACGGAAAGAAAGGTCATGGCGCGTGGCCCCTCTCAGCCGAAAGGGCATGTGAGGACTCAGTAGAACCCACCCCCATCCCCAGCCAGGACACCCACTCCCGCCCTGGTGATCGGGTGGTTTTCTGGCCCCAGGAGCTGCACAAAGCCACCCCCACCCCCAGCCAGGATTCCCTGGATCACCTGGTCGGTAAAGGGGGTCCTGGCTGAGGTGTGTGGGTTGTGCTGTCCTCAGTAGTATGTATCAGAAAAAGGCGGCGACCGAAGCCGTGGCATAATTTGTGACCGAAAGCACATTGTGACCGAAATTGAGAATCGCTCCGGTTTCGAACCAATCATTTCGGTCGCTCTCTGACATGCTCAAAAAGAATCGGGCGCTGGTTTCAGTCCCAGTCGGACAGTTTTTCGGACACAGCTTCGGTCACGACAGATACGAGGGCACGACAGGGAAAGGGACGAAGACCGACAGTCCGATTGCCGCCCGTCGGGCCCTGCCCTCGTCCGGGGTGTCCAAGAGGGGGGAGGACCAGGTGGTGTAGATCTTGGCATCGCTCGGATGGCGAGGACCATCGAGGAGCATCTTGGATCATCCTGCGAACAGTTCACGCACGAAGCCGAAACACATGCACGGGTAAAGGACGTCCGAGCGATGGCAAGAGATCTCATGGCCGGAGCCATGATGTCTTTCCAGATGTCATGGCCCCCGCGTCTTCCTGCAGCACAATCCCTAGTCCCCGCCTCGTCCGCGCACATGCCTTGCAGACCTCCCTCTTGGCCGTTCCCCTCTCGAACGCTCCCGAGCCCGTCGGTGTCGCCGCGGATGTTGTCCCTTCGAGACAGGGGGTCGCTTGCCCAAGAGCGGCAGCTGTCACTCTTAGACAGTGTCTGCTGTGGGCCGCCGTAATTACCTCCTTCGAGTTCCTCCTCCTCCTCCCTCCTCCTCCTCCTCCTCCTCCTCCTCCTCCTCCTCCTCCTCCTCCTGCTCCCTCCTCCTCCTCCCTCCTCCCTCCTCCTCTTTCTTCTCTTCCTCCTCCTCCTCCTCCCTACTCCTCCTCCTCCTTCCTCCTCCTCCTCCTCCTCCTCCTCCTCCTCCTCCTCCTCCTCCTCCTACCTCCTCCTCCTCCCCTCCTCCTCTCCTCCTCCTCCTCCTCCTCCTCCTCCTCCTCCTCCTCCTCCCTCCTCCTCCTCCTCCTCCTCCTCCTCCTCCTCCCTCCTCCTCCTCCTCCTCCTCCCGAGCCTGCCGCCGTCCGCACGGTCAGCTTTTCGAGTCGAGGGCCGCTCCGGGCTCGGGAGGGGCTCGAGGGCCGCTCCGGGCCCCTCTCCCGGGGTCTGGGTCGGGGCGCCCGCCCGTGCAGCCGCGGCCCGTCGCGGCCAGAGGCAAAACAGCCCCTCCCTCTCCTGATCCTGGCATCGCTCGGACGTGTGCATGTTTTCCTCGGCGAGAACCATGGAGGACCATCCTGGGCCATCGAGCCAAAAAGAACACGCACGAAACCGAAAAATGCACGGGAAATGGACGTCCGAGCGACGGCGAGTGATCGCCTGGGGCTCCTCGTCGCAGCACGACGACTCCTGGCGCCCCTCACCTGCGGAGGAGGAGGGGCAGGAGGAGGAGGAAACGGAGGAGTAGGAGGAGGAGGAGGAGGAGGAGGAGGACGAGGAGCAGGAGCAGCAGGACGGGAACGGGGACGAGGGGGAGGAGGACTCCTGAGGAGTCTGATGATGCGGGGCAAGTCTCTATACCCCCTGGCACACAGGCCGAGCAGGAGGCTAGCCATTGCTATCCTCCAGCGGTGCCGGGCCAATCGCAGCGCAAGCTACTGGCAGGCTGCCCGCCACGACTCCCGCTGTCTGAGGCCAGCAGGAGCAACGGCAGGTAGCCCACGCCGCCGCCCGAGCCCACGGCTCGGCGGAAGATGGAGTTTTTCGGGCAGCGCCCGGCAGCGGCGACCCGCCACGAGCGGAAAACCGGCCCGGAGGCCAAAACGAGGCGAAACCAGCAGAGGCGACGAGAGGGCAGGCGACGCAAAGCCAGGCCAGCAACCGTCGCGACCGACGGTCAACCTAGGCGCCCGGCACCTGCCGCCTCAGGGCCACTTCAGAGAGGCTCCGCCACATGAGGCGCCCTCCACACCCCCCTCAAAACTTGGCCATCACGATAGCGATTTGCCGAAACGATTCCTGGACTTTTTCAGCTACTCCTGGCGGGTCTTGTTCATCACGACGCCCTTGACGTTGACGACTTTGCCGAAATGATTTCCGGCCTTGGTCGCCTTCTCCTGGCGGATCATCACAGCGCTCTTCACGATAACGATTCTGCCGAAACGATTCCCAGCCTTCGTCGCCTTCTTGTCTTGATCAACACAACTCGCAGGCCTAGAGGTTGACACCAACACCAAAATCGGCGGTGTGCCTCCACCGAGGGAGGAAGGTCCCGATCTCGGTGATGGTGGTAATATTCTTGCTTCCAAGGTGACCGAAATATTGCCACCAACACCGAAATCTGGGATCACCTTCCCCATGTGGAGGCAACCCCCTGTGTTGGTGTTGGTGCCAATTTCTAGGCGTCCAATTCACGACTGCGACCTTACCGAAACGGCTCCCGGCCTTGGACGCCTTCTCCTGGCGGGCCTTGATCAGGCCGACGCCACCATGGCCCCGCGGCGCGGCTCGGGCGCGCCGCGCCCCTCAAGTGCGCGCGCCCAGTCCTCTCGAGGGATAGAAGGGCTGAGGAGGGGGAGGAGGAGGAGGAGGAGAAGGAGGAGGAGGAGGAGGAGGAGCAGCAGGAGGAGGAGGAGAGGGAGGAGGGGGAGGAGGAGGAGGAGGAGGAGGAGGAAGAGGAGGAGGAGGAGGACGAGGAGGAGGAGGAGGAGGAAGAGGCCTGTCCACAGCTGCCCGTGGGTGTCGGGTCTAGCCGTCGCCCTCTGGGCCCCGTCCAGGTCCGCCCCCTTGGTGTCTCTGGTGTCGTGGTGTCGGGGCGGGCCGTCGCAGTTGGCCTGGGTGCCGAAGAGACCCCAAGAGGCCGAAGGAGAGCCCCAAGATGCCTCCAAGAAGCTCCAAGGAAGCTCCCAGGAGATTCCAAGAGTGCCCCAAGAGGCTCCCAAGAGGTCTACTCCTCCTCCTCCTCCTTCCCTTTGGCTGCCGTTCCACCGCCCCTAAGGCCCCGCAGTCTCCCTTTGTAAGCTTTTCGGGACCCCTCAGGAGTGTGAGCACCCCCAAGAGGAAGAGATCTGGCCACAACAGTCCAGGCCCAGAGCAAGCAGCAGGTAGGCGTCAGTAGAGACTGGAGCTGGAATGGGTAAGACAGACAGACAGACTCCTCCTCCTCATCTTCCTCCTCCTCGCGGAGGATGGTCTAGTGCCTAGGCCGTCGTGTCGGGTCTGCAGTCGCTCGTGAGGCTCCGCACTCATAACCCCACGGCTCGGTTCCAGCGCTCAGTTTTGGGACGATCGAAATGGGTACGGAAAAGATGGGTGCAACGACCGACAGCACGTCCATCCATTTTGAACAGGACTCGCTGTCTGTGTCGCCGCGGACATGTTGTTCATTTGAGTCAGAAGTCCGCCCGCCTAACAACGACCGTAGTCCGCCCGCCTAACAACGAGCGTTGCCGATGTTTGGACAACGTGTGTGGTGGGGCATCGTACCCATGTCTTCCGTACCCAGCTCGGGCGTCCAAATAATTGGTTTGCAGCCCCCGTTTTACCCTTCATCGCCCGGACGTGTGCGTCGTTTCTCGGCGGGTGAGGAGCATCATGGATCATCTTGCGAAGCACACACGCACGAGCATGCACGGGGAATGGACGCCCGAGCGATGGCAAGTCGAACGTCTGGGATCCACGCGCTGGCAGCGCTCTGGCCATTTCGGGGGCGGGCTGTGCGCGAGGCGCGTCTCGAGATTGCTGGACGCTGCCAGGCCTCTAGGCCCGGTGGTTCGCAGTCACGTGCAAGAATTGCTACTCCAGATTTCGTAATAAAAGGGAGGGGGTCTGGACCCTCCAAGACAAGCCATTTCAGACCTCCCCCGTGGGAGAACCCTCCAAAACATCGTCCCCAGACCCCCCCAGGCCCTCCAAGATAGCCTGGAAGAGACCCCCCCCCGAAATGAGACCCCCCTCCCTTTCTTACGAAATCTGGGGTACACAGCACGCGCATGTTTGGGCTGCCAGCTTCTAGGGGCGCGCTTGAGTGGGAAAGCGGCTCCGAGTGGTGGTGAATAACACGATGCCCTTCTTCAAGATGCTGTTCGCCAAGGTGCTCCTCGGCGAGAAAGTGGGCAAAGAGAGGCGTGGTGCCTCCTCTGAACATGCTTATGCCTGTTCTGTTCAGGCTTTTCGTCCTGATTCTACTTCAGCTGTCTCATTGTCCCGATTCTGCTTCAGCTGCTGCTGTTGCTGCGGCGGGTCCCCGTCGTTTTCTTCCCCTCTCCCGTCTCCTGCCTTTCCCTTTCTCCCCCGTTCTCGTCTTTACACTCCTCCCTCATTCCTTGTGCCTTCCTCCTCCCTTCCCACTTCTCTCCTCCCTCATTCCCTCTTCCGTCCCCTCTCCCCGAGACGTCGGTGGCGTCGAGGTTGGCGACGGGCGAGCAGAAGCCTTGGCGCTCGACGACAGCACGAAACTCTCAGGAAGGCAGGTGACGTTCAGCGCATACCGCGACGAGGGTGGGCCGCTCCCGGGAAAAGTGCAAGTCCGATTTTTGGTCCTCATCCCAGTCTCCATCCTCCTCCTCCTCCTCCTCCTCCTTCTCCTCTTCCTCCTCCTCCCTCCTCCTAAAGCCGCCATTTGGGCTCCCTTTTTGCGCCCAATCCCCGTATCTCCCAGCGGTGCTTGAGGAGTTTGCAGGCAGTGTCATACCCACACAGCTTGCACAGCGAAAGCGGGGATTCAATTGTAGCTTCTTCAGATAGGATTTCTTTTCGTTCAGCCGTGGAGTCAGTGCACCCACTGCGATACGCACGGATACAATGACGTTGGAACCATGCACAACACTCCCTGCAGTCACTGCTCACATCAGGGCCGTCTCTTCCATCCTCGGTCTCGTTCGCGCGAGCCAGAGGACGTGCCCAAGAGGGTGCACTTTGAGGAGGAGGGCTCGTCGCGTCAATCTCCACGCTCCCGCCGTGGCTCCAGCAAGCCCGACACAACGGCAGACCTGATCCAGCAGGCCATCGAGAGTCCCACGAACGCTGAGCTCAAAAAGGCTTTACAGTTTCAGAGGGAGCACCTCCTCTCCACCAAGGAGAAACACAATTAGCTCGGCCATGGACAACGTCAAGAAGGCAAACGGCCAATGGAAGGCCGCACAGAACAGACACAATCAGCTTGTCGAGCAAGTCATCCACTTGAGGAAGCAATTGGCGCTCGCAGAGGAAAAAGAGAAGGAGGCCTCCGTCGAGTTGGCGCGCGCAGACGCCGAGAAACGCCAGGCCACTGCACTCCTCGCGCAGGACGATGGCATCAGCGCCGCCGGTCCCAAATCTGACACGCATGACAAGGATTATGTCTTCGGGGTCTTCGTCAACACCGAGGACTTCCAGGTTTTCGAATTATGGGACTGCGAGGACTGCGACAAGCAGTCCATCATATCCTGCGTGGCCAAGCTCGAACAGCACAGGCAGATGCTCGAAGCCCGCGACTCGCACTGGCAGCAGCTGGTCGACAAGTGCGAGAAGATGAAGCAGGATATCCACGAGCGCGCGAAGAAGAAACGCAAGGGGCCAGAGGGCGCGCCGACCGAGGCGCCCGCCGCGGATGAAGAGGCCGCCAGCTCTGCCGCGGCCACACAGGCCACCGTCACGGAGGACAAGGCCAAGCAGGAGGAGGCCATCCGCGCCGAGGCCGCCAAGCTGTCGCAGGCCAGGTTCCAGGCGTCCGAGGCCACCCAGAAGGCCAACGGCAAGGGCGGCGTGCCAGCCTGTGGCAAGGGGCGCGCAGCAGCAGCCTCAGCAGCCTCAGCCGCAGGCACAGCAGCCGCCAGCGGAGCCAAGAGCTCCAAGGAATGACTATCTGTGGGCCAACAGCTAGCATGAGGGCAGCCAGCGCCAGATGGTGGCTCTAGTACATCGTGCACTTCAGCATCGGGGTCCACAGACGCCAGCGAAAGCACTGACATCTTGCCACTTCCGCCTTCTAGTTACATGTTTTCTCGATTATCACACCCATGGGAGACAAAGCGTGGGGGGGCGCGTCGCGTCGCTCAAGTATGATGTCGACATCGCACTGCGAGACCCACGTCAAGCAGGGCCCCGCATCCAAGTGGGGGGCAAAGGCGCGGGAGCAGGAGCTGGAGCTCTTCGCCAACGGCGCGCGGCCCAAGGCCCATTTCACATGGCGACAGAGCCAATGACGGCGGCGAGTTCTTTCTGACAGTACGTCGCAAGCCAGCCCAGGTGCTGAACTCCGCGCGCAGCCACTGGGCTTCGAGCCGAAGGAGGCAGCAGTTTCGGTGGCTTCGTCCCAGCGCAGATTGAGCTAACAGGATATCCCCTCATGGTTATCACGTTCTATGGCCACTCGTCCATCGGGTTCCGTGATCCGAATGTTGTGAGATTCCGCAAACTTGCCGCCGTTCTCCGCCCCCTTCGCCTTCCTCGGATCGTTGCCGCGGATTGGAACTTCAGTCCCGCAGCCCTATCCAGAACAGGCCTTCTCGATCAGGTAGGAGGCGCCATCATTGTTTCGAACGCTGATGTCACATGCATCCCTGGCCGGGGATCAACAAGCATAGCACCTATATTATTTAATCGTGAGCGCTTCCGCGCAGGTCGGGGCTGCTTGTAGTGCGCCCTGGGGGCCCCGCATCGGGTTGTCTTTGGAGCTCGTCGGTAGCGCAAGCCAGTTGATTGCCAGAGTCCTCGGCTCGCCCCTCAAGGCCCCCCAAAGTGGCCCGACCTGACAAGGGCAGTGACTGAGGGCTCTGAACCCAGCCGGCGCAATCAGGGGCGAGTTCTTTCTAGCCAGACATTTTTCACGCGATAAAAGGAATGATTGCAGAATGTGGTGGCTTGGTCGGCCCGGCGAAGCCGATGTCGACCAGTCTGAGAGCGAGGGCGCGACAGGCGAGGGCGGCTACAGCGAGCTCTACTACCCCGTGGAGGCCGATGGCGAATTCGACCCGTGGGCGGGCGAGCCCAATTTCAGCGCCGCCGCCCGCGCCGCCCCCATGTTTTGCGCGGGAGAGAGCGCCTCAGTCGACCAGCCGAATCAGCGCGTTATACCCAGTAGTGTCAGCGATGCCCCCCCAAGGGATAGTGCGCCGCCCGAGGGGGAGTTTGCCCTGTAGCCCCGCTGCCGACGCGGCTAGAGACCCCGGTGCCTCGGGCTCTGTTCCTTTCGCAGTGTCTGGCGAAACCTGGCGCCAAGCAAGACGAACAACCGGGCCCCCCCCGAACTCGTCGCGCCCCTTGTTTCTGCGGCTGCTGCCCCAGTAGCTGTTTGGCTCGGGAACCATTCGCATGCACGCATTAGCTCTATATCGTAGCTGGGTTCGGACAGTTGAACGCGCAATCCATGCCCGCCGCGGGCGGGCCATGCCCGAGCACAGCCGAGGCCGCGCTGTCTCCTGCTCGGTCCGAGAGGATCGGCAGGCCAAGCCAGCGCGAGAATGCCCACTCCGCGATCGAGTGGCAGGGTGGCGGGCGCAGGCGGCCACCATAAGCGAAGGTTTTCGAGGGCACCGTCAGCGGCGAAACGGAGCCAGACAGCAAGAGCCATGAGCAGCTGCCGCCCGCGCTCTCGTTCAAAAGATCCCCGAGGGAGCGTCGCGCGTCTTTCGACGGAAAGATCCCCTTCAGTGGAGCAAGGTCGATCGACTGTTGAGCGATCTACATCGGTTGGCTCCAGGCGAGCGCCGGCAGCTGGCTGGGGCGACCGGCGCCATCGCCAGGAGGAGCCAACATAGAGCAGCTCAAGAGCCCATCAGTGAGTTCCGTGAGTTGGCGGAGACAGCCCCCGCTGCCGGCGCCCTGCACAGAGCGTTCAAGGAGCAGGTGATTCCTGGAGACACGCTGGAGGTCGGCACGCGCACTTGAATTCATCCTGGAGACATCCTCGACGCCCCCCGAGCGACCATTCCTAGTTGCAAGAAGTGTTTCAGGAGATTTGTCCTCGCGTCCGTTTCCAGGCGCTTCCCAGCATTTCAGTCGATGACCAGCGGCGGGCGCCGAGAGGCATCGAGCCTACTGCAGCGCGAGGAGTTCATCGCGTCAGCCGCACCGACGATCGATTTCCAGACAGTACCCTCGCAGAACGTGCCGGCATGCTTTCAATGTGTGGAGCGCAGCGGGCGCGGCCGCGCCAAGTGACGTCGACGCTGAGCACCCTTCTCCCCAATCGGGTTTTTGGAGACAGCGTCGCAGGGTCATTGCCGCGCCTCGGGCGGCAGCGGCCCAAAGCCCGCGAGTATCATGGCATGCCTTGGACGGGCCGGCGCGAGACGCACTGGGGCGCCGTCCGAGGCAGCGCAGCTCTCAGAGAGGTGTTTCTACGTGCTGTCGGCGAGGAACTGGCACTGCGTTTGGGTGCCTCGCCGACGTGCGTGTGGGGGTGCCACCGGATTTCAGAAATGTGGCAAATCCGCTGTGTTTTTGGACCCTCTGATCTGCGTGAGGGGTGCCACCGACTTGCAGAAATGTTGCAAATCCGTTGTGTTTTTGCACCCTGGCCACGGCCGATCTGCGCGAGGGTTGCCAGGATTTTGCTTGGTGAAATGTGGCACATCCATGTGTTTTCTGGACCCTGATTCCGTTGATCTGCGTGGGGGTGCCACTGGATTGCAGAAGTGTGGCAAACCCAATGTGTTCTTGGACCCTGACCCCGCCGATCTGCGTGAGCGGTGTCAGTTTTTACCCGCCCCAGCAATTCAGAGCACGCGCTCAGGGCGCGCTAAACCTGCCCGTTTGCCCCCCCCCCCCCCCCTCTCGCGCGGTCCATCAACGAGGGGCAGTAACCCTGTGCCGCCGAGATTAATGCCACAGGGGTAATATTGTTCGGGGCTGCGGGGGGGGGCATAAATTTGGCCTACCGGGGGCCAGCGTGTGGGAGGAGAAAGAGATGATGTTAAAAGGACCGAAAGCCGAGGGTCGAGGATCGAGAATCGAAGTCCGAGGATCGAGGATCGAGATCCCAGAGTCGAGGATCGAGGTCCGAGGACCGACGGCGGCGAGGTCCGAGGATCGAGGATAGAGGTCCGAGGGTCGAAGATCGAGGCCCGAGAAAGCGTGCCTGTTTCGCTTGAGATATCCTCGAATAAATGTTTGTTTCGCTTGGGACATCCTCGACAAATCTC